ATATATATATATATATATATATTCCCTGCACTTCACACATCTGCTGTATGTTCTTGAGAATCAGAACACTTTGGTTGAAAACCAGAAGCATCTTAGAACAGTTTTTGCGCTGATGTAAGGAGCATGTTAAAAGACAAGTCCACTCAAAGCAAATAAATCATTTCATTCAACAGCAAGTCCCCCTCATAATGGCTTCAAGGTGGGAGAGCTGGAAACTCGAGTGCATAGATCTTGTTCCCAGTCTCCATGCGATACGAGAAACTGGTGGGTGCTCAAGCAAAGTCAATAGGCTTTATTATAGAGGTTCATAGTCAACATTTGTCACACAAGTCTGATCTCACCCTTAGGATTCCACTTCCTGTTACAACACAAGTATCCAAGAATGATATGTCAGGATGACGCCAACATAATTTTAAAGAAAATATTAAATTGTCTTTACTATAAAAATATACTATGGGATTAAAAACAAAACATGGGATTAAATGCTTTTTCATTTCAAGGATCTGGGAGAACAGGATTGGGGGAAGATTCAGCAGAGTCATTTAAGGTTGTTGATGATGATGAAGGTGATGATGTGGTTTCTAGATCAGGTACAGCAGGATCCTTCTCTTCGTATTTTGGTGGAGGGTCCGATGAAAAGTATGGGTTAGTATAAACCTCAGCAGGTTCACTGGGCAGTGAAATGGTATAAATACTTTCTTGGTCCTGAATGTTTCCTTGACCAATATTACGAGACCTACAAAAAAAATAAAAAAAAATAGTAGATGTAAACCTCTTGTCAGGGATACCGGCACAGGTGACCCCACACCTGCACAGATACCCATACAGGCGGACCAAACACGTGTGACCACACGGACAAGTCAAGTATGGTATATATAAATATTTTAATAAACTTAGCAAGCTAACAGAAACAATCCACAACAGGCATAAACCAATAATGTAACCCCCATTACCTAGAACATACAACGGGTGTAACAACACAGGAAACTGGGTACAAGATAGCATACAGGTATCAGGGTCTCAGGGTTCAGGCCAGAGGACTCGGACAACAGGGGAAGGCAACGGAATCCTGAGCCAAGGTCCAGACTGCAGGGAGGGTTTAACTGCCTCCGGGCCGGCCGTAGTAAAAAAACGGCCGGCCAGGAGCTCTCTAGATCTGAGCGGGCGTCTTTAGACGTCCGCTCAGACACGCCCCCTTGCGCGCGCCGCCGGGCGCGCGCGGGAAATGGCCGCAATTTAAAAACGGGCAGCGATGCCAGGGTAATAAATGTTTCCTAACATAATGTTTAAAAAAAACGTTTTTTTTCAAAATTTTCAGTAATTTTTCCTAATTATAATAAAAAATAAAACCCCCCCAGTGGTGATTAAATACCACCAAAATAAAGCTCTATCTGTCCCCAAAAAATGGTGTAAAATTAATTTCAGTACAGCGTTGCATGACGGAATAAACGTCAGTCAAAGTATCGCAGCGCTGAACACTGAAAAATGGCCTGGCCAGGAAGGGGGTCTAAACACCTGGTCTTGAAGTGGTTAAATATCCTCCCAGGAGCAACATCTAATGGGCTGATTCCTGGCAGCTGGGAGACACCCACAGGTGAGCACTGGAGCTGTAGGTACCAGCACCACCCAGTGGTGATCTGGCACCTAGCAGCCCCTGGCTGCCTGGAGAATCCTGCAGGTGAGCCCAGGAACTGCAGGGCTCAGCTCCAGCGCCACCTAGAGGCGCTCTGGATCCTAACACCTCTACAGAACTGAAGACTGAATTTCACGTAATATTAAAAAGCATCTACTTTATAAAACATGAGCTGAATAGATAGATCTATGATAGATCTGATGTCGAACATGGGGTGCAGTCACCATGAAATGGTCAGTACCATCTTCTTCAGATAAAATAGTTATGTTATTTATTCTAGATCAGCGTTTCTCAACCTTTTATCAGTCACAATCTTTGGAAGTATGCAAAATACACCCGAGTCTAAAATGTAAAAAACGTAAATGTAAAAACATTTTGTGTGCTTCTTCCCAAAATCTATACCAGACCCAAAGAGGGACCTGGTATGGTTTCGAGTAGGGACCCCATACAAAAAAAACCAACATGGAGTTCCCCTCTTCACATCAGAGCCCCCCCCTTTTCACATCAGAGTCCCCACTTCATAATGGGAGCCCCCTTCACATAAATTCCTCAGCACCCCCTCCACATCAAAGTCCTGCCTTATAACCCTTCCCACAGTACGGCTGCATGGCAGAGCATGGGAGGTCTAGCACGTTGGGACAGAGACAGAGTTCTACTCTCTTCTGAATGCTGGGTTAGGTCCTGGATTCAGCACCGCCTGGATTAACATCATGCATTTCCATGGTGCTGGTGGCTGGCTGTGCGAAAATTTGACGGCACCCCTGACAAAGCCAGAAGGATCCCCGGAGTGTCATGGCACCTTGGTTGAGAAAGGCTGTTCTATATGACTAAATAAATATATAAAATATTTGTATTTGAACAGGAGCACTAGTGATTAATAGTGGATTGTTAATATGAAATGAACCCACACAATCCGATATACAGGACACCATCTAACACAGTCATGATACATTGGAGTCAAAGCAATTTCCTACCACCTAAAGTCATTTTCCAATCAGGGTATGGAAAGATATGACGTGTGACCTTTTACCACCATATGGGTTTACATGAAATATGCATTTAATAAACTAAGAGCAGTACCCTCAGTCTTACCTTATGTTAAAAATACTGTTATAAGAAGGTGGATTATCACTCCTGGGCAACGGAGTTCCTTGACCAGACCCTGGAGATAAAGGATCAGCAAAATAGGGAGGTGGAGGTGGTGGGAATATAATAACGGCATCACCTGAAAAGAAAGGAAGGAAGAAGAAGTTACAAGATCTGTGACACCTCAGCATTGAGGCTGAAGATGGGATGAGCACATTTTGAGCACATCATAACCAGAACAAATGATTAAAGATTTAAGCTATGCTTAGACAAATTACAACGGTGTTGAGTTTATGTAGCACTTAACAACATATTACAGAAAAGTGGTGCCCATCCTTTCTACTGAAATATTTACCTTCCCTGGAGAAAAACTATTCTAGGGTCCCTTCAGTAACTGACTGCATGTCTGAAAGCCTAGGTTCTTGGTCATCTCCAAAGAAGGTCTGAATCAGAGATCAAACTGACTAATTATCCCCCATCACCATAGATTATGTGTCCATATACCTAGGCCTTCAGACAATGTGATAGGACTTTCAATTCATAGGAAAGTCTTGATCAATTACATATTTATTTACTTTGCAGTGCAACAAGAAAAAATAGGAGGGCCCTAACTATAGTTAAAAAAAAATTCAATGCACTATTGTAGGCCTTTTGGTGATATGGCAACCTGCTGGTCTGTAGATTTGAGTAACAAGTTTTCTCAGTGTGCTGAAAGCCGCAAACACACAAGTCAAAAGCCACAAGTTGCTAAAAAGAACAGCTAAGCAGTACAGCATCTGAACATTTAATTGCATAGCTGGGGACCTTCTTTGGTTTTGGCTATTAGCTCTGATCAACCTGTCTCCAGCAAGGGCCAATTAGAAGACCACTGGCACTTGGACATGCTACTGAAGTAAGAGGGGACTCGGTGGAGAATGGGTTGTGCTTTGCCCTCTTAGCAGTGCACCACATATGGACCATGCAACAACTATCTTTGCACCTGTTTGTAGCAGATGAAAAGATAAACATTTAAACAGTAATTCCACTTCGTCACAAAATGTGAGAAAATAAACTTACCCGCACAAACCTGCTACCTCTGCTGGTCATGCCATTGAATGGAACCGCCATTCCCTCCGCAACAGTCAGTGTTTGGTCCGTACACCACACTGCAGCCCTGCACCGAGCATCTAGCATAACACTTGCAAATGCGTGCACTCTTTAGTCAGCACGGTCATCTGACCGCGCTGACCAGTTAG